AAAAAAAAAAAAAAAAAAAAATCCTTCCAAAAGAGGAATCCCTCTCTTTTTACATGTCCTCCTTATTTAAAAAAAAAAAAAAAAAAAAATTTAAGTAATGTTTACACCTAACATGGGGCTCAATCTCATGACCCCAAGATCAAGAGTCACATGCTCTACCAGTTGAACCCACCAGGCACCCCAGAATTCCTCTCTTTTAATGGAATAAATAAGAATCAAAAAACATTTCACATTCTGAAGTCACACTCAGGATTTAGCAAGCAAATTCTGTAGTGATCATCTGGATACTTTACTTTGCCAACCTTTCACACATCCCTTTTGCCAAAGTAAAAAAATTTGGTAGACTAATATAATGAAAAACCATGAAAACCTAAGTCCCAGAGGGAGAAAAGGATGGCTATATTACCTTTCTCATTAGACTCATTGCCCTGCTTCTCTTTATTTGGTGTCTGGTTCTTTAGGCCCATATATATGCCATTGCTATCATAGGAGCTCTGTGGACAGTGTTTTCCTTATTGCCTTATGTGTTTCTTTAAAGTTTCTTGTTTTAAGCCTGACATAATATTATGTTAAAATTTAATGTGACTCTTAAATCTTGTTCTTAATGCTGACAGTACAGTGGTGAACGAGATAGTTATGGTCACTGCCCTGGTTGTACATACAGCCTAAGGGAGGAGGCAAACAACAAGGAAATTGGCTGTTACATAATTATTATAAGTCATGAGAAGAAAAAAAACAGAGTACACTGATAAATACGGTGAGAGTGTCACAGGAGGGCACTGCTTTAGATAGGGGAGTTATTAGAGACACTTCTGAAATAACATTTCAGCTGGGACTTGAAGAATAAGAAAAGTAATTTTTCCAGGTAGGGGGAACATGTCAAGTCCCCGAGGTGCAAAAGAACGTCATTTAATTTTCTTTCTGGTCTGATTTAAACCATAAAAATGACTGATTTAACTTGATACTGAAATGGTTATGATTTGATACAATTCATTTAAATTGTCAGCACTGGAAAATAGTTACCTCTTCACTTTGTACCTTCAACCTTGACCTGAACCACTCAGAGTATTACATGTAGTCTCAAGTTAAATATGACATATTTAATCTAATACTTCCTGTCAGGGGAATTCTCAATGCATGTTAGCTCCTTTCCTTTCTCCCCCCTCTTCAACATTGCTGGGAATGTGTTTGCTGGGCAGCTCCTCTCTCCCCACACCTGCACCAGAGATACGTGGAATTTGGTGTGGGTATAGGAAGGGCACAATCAAGAATAATACCATTGTCTCCAAAACCTGACCCTAGTGTCTCTGTTAAGGCTCCCCAGGGTCCCTACCTCCTCCTAAGTCTCACCCAGTTTGACTTCTTAAATTCAGGTCACTTCAGGAATGTATTGCATAATACAAATGTATACTTATATATATTTATGTTACATAGATAATACAATATAAATATACATGTAAGTATATATAATGTTTTTACATACTAGCAAGAGCTAGTATATTCAGCAGTCTACAAGAACTGAAGTCCCAGTTACCATTATATCCTGTTCACAGGTCTTCAGTTGTTTTCCTTTGTTTCTTCTTAAATCTTTTTTGGCTCTCCACTGCATGGCATAATCAAGAAGCTGCTCTGGTCAGTGCTGAAATAAGAGGTGAGGTGGGGAAATATGACTGGATTCCCATGGAATTCCTCTGATGTCCTCTTTGGTGTTTCTCAGGTAGTGGTCCTCTCAAAGGCCTTGGTAGCCTTGGCCTGCTGCTGAACTGGTACAGGAGGGATTGGCTCTTTACCTATGACTGGATTCCAGTAGTAGTTAAGACTTGGCTTGTTTCCCTGTTCCCACTTGAAGTTACTGTTTTACAAAGTACTTTTTCCTGGCAATAATAGAAGTGGTGGGGGTGAAGAAAGAACACTGGACCTTTGGAATCTCTCTCTGTGCCTTCATTTTTTTCCCTTATCAGTAAAATGAGAGTGTTGGTATGGATGATCCCTGAGGTCCCTTTTAGGCCTAATATATCATGTTTCTATTTTAAATTATATAGTTTTGTTTCTGCTGTCTGACTTACGTAATGTGTATGTTGGAAATTATCTCAGTGTTTGAATTTGATACTTCTGTGGAAATGTAGAGCCCTACTGGTTGAGCTGGATATACTCATCTCAGAGTGCAGGGTTGGGTTATAATTGGAAAACTCTGTACTGGGGTATCTCTTACAGTGAGTTTTTTTGGATGCTATTGAAAGCAGTGGTACTGTATACCTTGAGGATGAAACAAGCTAACTAAGCCTGAGTTAGTCTCCAAAGAGTTATGATCAGTGAAATTTGTGGTGAATGACTTGAAGATGTGGCTTTTAATTTTGTTAAAGTGGTCAAATTGTATTGAAATAGCACTGTCCTGTGTAACTCTGAGTTCTGTTGCTCTAAATTGGTCCCTCCTTCTTTTGCAGGAGCTATTGTGACAATCTTGGTTACCATCCATTAAGTGCTGCTGACTTTGGAAAGATCATGAAAAATGTCTTTCCAAACATGAAGGCACGTCGTCTGGGCACAAGAGGCAAATCTAAATATCCTTTACCGGAATGGTTTTTAGTACTCTCTTTAGTAATCACTTAGAACATCTGCTGTTGTAGTTCAACTAGCAACTATATTTAGAAGTAAATTTAAGTCAACAAATATAAGCAACTCAAAGTTCTTAGTAGAATAATTGCAAACATTATTTTCCTGGCTATATATCAAACTACAAGAGAAATAACAAATAGTGGTTTTAGGATTACGATAGATTTCACCATATTCTGTCACTGTAATGTGTGTTCTTAATGGTCCAATCTCCTTTTCTTTAACAATAAGAATTAACTGAGATAGGTCACAGTGCAGCTATTGTAAATCATATCAGTAAAAATGGAGAAAGAGGTTAGCTGTCTCCTTCCCGTAATTTAGAAACATCGGGATCTCTTTGGCAAAATATACACCACTCAGGAAAAATTCCTGTGGAACTTGTCCTGGATGATTATATTCTCTTTAAAGTATTTTTTCAGCCAACCATTTAAAGCCTGTATTAAAATTAAAGCCAGAGCATAGGAAAGGTCCCTGTTGTGACGGAGACATACTTAGTAGCAAACAGAAGGAAATGAAAATGAAGAATTTATTAAAGTCCTTCTGACTCTTGGCAGAAGGCTGTAAAATAGAGGGTCTCTGTATTAGAAAAATATTATTTCTCTTTACGTAGCCCTTGGCCTTTTTCAAAGCACAGAAACCCGCTTCTGTGGAGATGAGAGGAAAGGGGAAGGAAGGGGACACTGCTTTTCTGAAACAGCTCCAGGTGCTCTCTGCTCACTTGTTGCATGACCCATCCTTGTTCTCTGAGTACAAGCAAAACTGTCTTGATGGGTCTTTGGCATGTTACAGGTGATAATCCTGTGTGTTTCAGTGGAAAAAGAACTGAAAAGGTTAAAGCCCTTGTGACACTCTTTAGAGTTGTTTTTGTCCCAGTGCCCTGGGCTAAAGTTTCCCTGTGCTGTGCCAGGTTTCCATCTGGATATTCCTTTCCTTCTGACCTGTTTGTTACTGGTGGTTGGCATAGCCTATTAGGAACATTTATTCATAAAATTTATAGCGATGAGAATCATTTTGTTTCGTTTAAGACAATAACATTCTACAGAGACTATTCCAATTTCAAAACAGTGAAAGTGTCCTGAATTTATAATATTGAGGTTTCTCTTACTGAAGAACTCTGAAAGTAGATGTTATCTCGTGCTGATTTTGTTCCTATTTCATATATGGTTACTTCTCAAATGGTGATTATATATAAGCAATTCATTTAATTTAGAATGCTTTAGACCTTAACTGTTTATTACATATTGCTACAGTGGACTAAGGAAAAAAGCCTTTGTTCATATGCCAACACTGCCCAATCTTGATTTTCACAAAACTGGAGATGGGGTAAGAATTCTGCCTTTTCTTTTTAATAAGTAGAATTATACCTTAATATCAGCATTGAAATGCATACTGCATAGTCTCATTTGGATAAAACCAGGGACCAGGAACTATGCCTTTTACAAAATAAATGAGACAAAAAATTTAACAGTGGCTGAAAAATTTTAGCATATCTGACTTACATCAACATGATTGATGAAATTAGATAGCATTTACATCAACATCGTTGACGAAATTAAGAGGAACATAGGTCTAAACTGGTTTCTAAATATATCCATGATGTATATTGACTATATATATATATATTGTCAACAGGAAAAATTAAGTTGTGGGGTAATATAGTATGGATGTCTTTTTTTTCCCTTTTTGATTTACTTATATATCTAATACAAGTACAAAGAAGAGAAAATACAGCTAGTGGCATAGTTTGTTTTACTGATGTCAGAAAAGTGTTTTAGAAAGATTCGTAAGATCCCTTAGCCTTCATATATATTTAACGACCATTTCAGTGTTTCAGTCCCAGTGCTCCTGGTGGCTGTGACCTGGCCGGTGCTGTAGGCATAGGCCTCGCATTTGCACGGCTCTTCTTTTTTTTTTTTTTTAAGAGTTTATTTATTTGTTTGACAGAGACAGCGAGAGAGGGAACACAAGCAGGGGAGTGGAAGAGGGAGAAGCAAGCTCCTGGCTGAGCAGGGAGCCCCATGCGGGGCTCGATCCCAGGACCCTGGGATCATGACCTGAGCCGAAGGCAGACGCTTAACGACTGAGCCACCCAGGTGCCCTTGCACGGCTCTCCTATGCCTGCCAGTAGGGCGTTTTATACGACTTTGACCCGACAGACCTAGATTACATCTTCTAATTAAGAATACACGCCTTCAGTGTGCTTCAGTTTAATTTCTCTGAACTTTCTTTTATAAGTTAACTTTTTCCTTTTTCCTTTGTTTAGTTGGAAGGAACTGAACCTTCTGGGCAGCTTCAAAATATTGATGAGGAAGTTATCTCTTCTGCTTGCCGTCTTGTGTGTGAGTGGGCCCAGAAGGTGTTAAGCCAGCCATTCGACACGGTCTTGGAGTTAGCACGCTTCCTTGTAAAAAGTCATTACATAGGCACCAAGTCGATGGCAGCTCTAACGGTAATGGCAGCAGCACCACCAGGTACAAAATTACCGCTAACAAGCTAAAGCTCAAAGGGACAGAGGTGTTACTGCATTTTAGAGTTGGTGGCAAAAGAAGAGTTTCTCCAGAGAACTTTCCTGTCTTTTTAGTGTTTGTATGAGTCTGCCCTCACTTCACTTAACTCTAAGTCTAGATGGGTTTGTTGAGCCAACAAAAATAGTAGTAATTATAGTCATTTCATCATAAAGCTGCAAGCGGTAGTTTTTCTCTAGTATATTGCTCTGCTGAAACATGAAACGTTTATGATTTCCCAGTTGATCTTAATTTTTCCATTGCTACTTTAAAATTTAAAGAATATGTGTATGTGTACTTCTAAATATACATGTGTGTCTAAATTAACAAATATTAGATAAGATTAAATTTTTAAAATGACTTGCTAGCTTCCTATTAGAAACTAATACTTATAAACAAGATGATCTTTGGATAATGTGAGAGGTAACTTCGTGTCACAAAAAGCAAACTTATGAAGCATTATTATAAAATAGCAAGAGTGATTTTTTTAAAATATACATTCAAATGAATATTTTTGTTCCAATAGGGACTTTTTTCATTTGATAGTTTTAGGAATTGACAGTATTGGAATAAACACCTCCCTCCTAAATTAGTAGCTGTGTAAAGTACCTCTTCTGTTGCAGTTTTTTAAATGTCTCATTTCAGTCATACATTTTAATAACCTAAGGAAGAATGAATAAGTTGTGTTACTACTCTAGGAAATTATAATTTCTGTGAAAAATGTATTGTGAAACTTGTTTTCCAGAGATTATTCTTCTGATTATTAAATGTAAATAATTTAAATCTGTAATGGATTTCTCCCAGCCAGAATTGTAGTTTCTTAAATAACTTCACTTTTTTTTAAATCTTAATAATTTTAACAGTTATTTTTCTTTCAGTTTATATTTATCAGAAGCTTTACGTATTTGGTGGGGGGTGTATTCTTATTCTATCCTTTCATCTTATTGTCAATTGAGGACTCACTTCAGCAAAATAATCTCTTACCAGAATTTTGTCATGATTTTCTTTGTCTAGATTGTAAACTGTATGACTTAAAGCTGCTCATTTACACTTACACATGAACAGGAGAGCGCTTGTGTAGCCTTATCTAGTTAGGTAGCCTGATATGCTACCTCATTTCTTCCCCCAGCAGTCCTGTGAGACAGGTGATATTAATTCCCATTTTACAGATCAGAAAACAGGCTTGGGGAGGTTAAGTAATTTGTCCATGGCCAGATAAGCAGTGGGACCAGGATTTGAATTCCAGTTTGTTGGTCTCAAAAGCCCAGGTTAACTGCATTACATCATGCTGTCTTCTTATCTTCTGGCAAAATGAGGTTTTAAAAGATATGGGCCAACAACAGAAAAAAAAAAAAAAGATATGGGCCCTTCGGCTTTCTGTGTTCTCTCTTACCCCTACTGACACCTAGATTAGTACTTGAACGAGCTGAGGAATTAGGAGGTACCATGGGAAAAGAAACCTCTCGATCTTATTTTCCTCATTGCTCACAAGGTCTGACTGAAAGAAGTGGTGAATGATGGGATGAATGAATTTTTAAAGCATAAGTGTAAAGGAAGGTGTGTTTTTTAAACAAAAATACTAAAAATTTCATATATAAACATGTTTCACTTTGTGAAAGTATTCAGTAGTTTAGCAATTATATCATTACTCAAAATATTTTTAGATTCTTAAAATTTTGTTCTCAACCACTGCTATAATTTTTTAAATACCTTTGGTGATTAATCTTCATCTTTTGAAGGTGAATTTGGTTTTTTATAAATATAGTCTCCATATTAAGAACAGGTTGTGTTTCAAATGTCCTTTTGTACGTCAGCTGCTTGGAAATCATTCCTGTCCAGAGACCCTGGCAGGAGGGAGACAGCTGAGCTTTGAGCCATTGGCAGAGGCTTTTGGGTGCAGGTGCTGAGAAGCCAGAGCCCAGGCTGGGGGCCAAGAGGGAGCAGTACAGTTTGAGCTGGATTTGAAGAGAAAAAATGGTACTTAGGTGATCAAAAGGGAGTCAAAAGATGAGGGATTACTGAGTGAGTGTGTGGGAAAGAGTTTAAGTCACTTCTTTCTCTCCTGTCCCCCCTCCACAACTTGTTGATGAAAAGCAGAAATTGGGCCAGGGAAACGATGTACCAGAAGGATGGTGGGGACCTCCCCTTTCGTCTCCACTGTTTTTACCAGCCACAGCTTACTTTCTAATGATTGTAATGCTGCACCCTAAATGTGAAATGAGCTTTTTAAAAAATTAATTGTACTATATCATCAGTTGTTCTTAACTTAAAATTTATCTTTTTGCTTAGTTTATCATTCCTTTTTTCTCAGTGTTGCTCTTACTACTGCTTTGAAAAGTTTTCTCAGTGACACTGTTTCAAAATACCTTAACCTCAGTTTTATGCAGCAGCTCTGCTTAATTACTCCTGTGTCATACTGGAATAATTGTATAGTAGCAGTTAAAATAGTACCTCTTTTTGTGAATTGGTAGAATTAAACACTTGTTTTCCCTATACACATTTTTTCTAAATATGAATGATTTCAGCAAATATTTATTGAATGCCCCTTGTGAGCTGAATATTTAAATCATGAAAATGCATGCATTTCTAATTAATAATTGAGAATTGGGGAAGGACATTTCTGACATCTGATAAGATGTGAAACATGCTCCTTTGGTATTTATTTATCTTAACGTCTGCATATTTATGACATAGCTACTACTCTTTTCAAAATCTTCATCTGTTATTGCTGACTTAACTGAAACGGTCACCTGAGTTGAACCATATTTTAAGGTGTCAAACAATGTTGACAACTGTTTTTAAACTGAAAGTCTAATACTTAACGCTTTATAAAGAGATTGTGAGTTAAAATTTGCTGGTTTTGGTTGCTTTGTCCAGTAGATGGCTACATAGCCAAAGAAATTGAGTTGTGACTGCCTTCTATAAAACAGAGTATTTATTTTAGCTTTCTTTTCTGTTTATTTTCAGGAATTAAAGGAATTACCCAGCCGTCTGCTTTTATACCTACAGCTGAGAGTAATTCTTTTCAGCCTCAAGTGAAGACTTTGCCTTCTCCTATTGATGCTAAACAGCAATTGCAACGGAAAATTCAGAAGAAGCAGCAAGAACAGAAACTACAGTCCCCTTTGCCAGGAGAATCCTCAGGCAAAAAAGCAGAAGGCGCTACAACCAATGGAGTGACTAATCTTTCTAATGGAAATCCTGCAATCCTTTCTCCTCAGCCTATTGGTATCGTTGTGGCAGCTGTCCCTAGTCCCATTCCGGTAATAGCATTACATAGTGTTAGACCTCACTGGGATGCTGGGAGAGCATTTGTTTAATTAAAAGTGGCACACAGGAAGGAGGCAAGTATAGGTATAGATTCAGTTACAGATTGATTTTGTGAGCACAGATAGATTCAGCTTCAGTCAGTCGTCTTTTAAAGATTTTACTTGGGGTGCCTGGGTGGCTCAGTCGTTGGGCGTCTGCCTTCGGCTCAGGTCATGATCCCAGGGTCCTCGGTTCGAGCCTCGCATTGGGCTCCCTGCTCGGCGGGAAGCCTGCTTCTCCCTCTTCCACTACCCCTGCTTGTGTTCCCTCTCTCGCTGTCTCTCTCTCTGTCAAATAAATAAATAAAATCTTTAAAAAAAAAGGTTTTAATTATTTGAGAGAGAAAGTGCGCACGTGCGCACAAGCATGGCAGGGGGAGGGGCAGGCAGAGAGAGAGAATCTCATGCAGACTTCCCGCTCAGCATGGAGCCTGACCCGAGGCTCGATCCCATGACCCTGAGATCATGACCTGAGCCCAAATCAAGAGTCCGCCACCTAACTGACTGAGCCATCCAGGCTCCCTGTCAGTTGTTTTTTAGTCACAATATACAATGCTGATTACAAAGCAAGCTATAAAATGAACACAAGTGAAAATACAAAGATTTAAGACATGCAGAGTATGCACGCATAACCAGAGCTTTATGTAAGATATGAATCATTTTCAGAATTGTTTCATCTCTAGCTAAGCCAAGATGATCAAGTGTGAATTTTTTTTGGTTTAAACTTTTCTTCTTTTTAACATTCAGACAGAGCAAAGTTGTAACACATATTGATAACACTTTTTTTTTTTAAGATTTTATTTATTTATTTGACAGAGAGAGATAGTGAGAGCAGGAACACAAGCAGGGGGAGTGGGAGAGGGAGAAGCAGGCTTCCCGCTGAGGAGGGAGCCCAATGCGAGACTCAATCCCAGGACCCTGGGATCAAGACCTGAGCCGAAGGCAGCCGCTTAACGACTGAGCCACCCAGGCGCCCCTTGATAACACTTTAATATAGACCTGTTGCTGTGGCTTGCTCTACATAGGACCTTGGACAAGTCCCTTAGCTGTTCTGAATCTGTTTCCTTATTAACAAACGAGGTTATAAGTCTCCTTTTCTGTCTCACACAACTGAAGTTATGATGAAGGGGCTTTTAAAATGAGAGGGCATTATGCTAAAACAAAGTGGTATTTTATGTTATTATTGATGATATCATTAAGGAGATCTTTTATCTTTGTTTTTCTTATCATCATCATTATCATCATGTCATCAATACGTGGCATACCTGGTAACCACGCTCATATGCTATTCACTATAGAGCAAACTTGGGGAGACAGTAGTTTTATCTGAGAACGTATCCACAGTGGTTTAATTATTAATGTCCAATGACGTTATGACAGTCCCCCGCCCCATGAGTGAGTCACTTTCTTGGCCCAGAGGTAGATACCTTTATAGTTGCATGTTTTTTCAAGATTTTATCTTCTCTTCCTATAACCTCCTTAAAAATGATTATTTTGGCAAGTATTCATCACAATTGCGAAGTTTTTAGTCTTGCCAATTTGAAAAGTATCTTAATGTTTTTCTTACATATTATATTTTATAACTATATTGCACTGTGTTACAGTTTTTATAATATTTATGTGTCTGATTGTATACAACCTGGTCTAACATATTTATAGATAGATAGAACTCTTGTCTAACAGAGGAACTGTTTTTTTTCTTTTTAGCATTACATTTATTAAATGCCTTAATACTATACAGATACGTGAATTACTGTTTATATCCTAGACTTGTTAAATCTGACTTTTCTGTTTTCTACCTTTTAACAGGTCCAGAGGACCAGGCAGTTGGTAACTTCACCCAGTCCAATGAGTTCTTCTGATGGCAAAGTTCTTCCCCTCAATGTACAAGTGGTCACTCAGCACATGCAGTCTGTGAAACAGGCACCAAAGACTCCTCAGAACGTTCCAGCCAGTCCTGGTGGGGATCGTTCTGCCCGGCACCGCTACCCTCAGATCTTACCCAAACCAGCAAACACCAGTGCACTCACCATTCGCTCCCCAACTACTGTCCTCTTTACTAGCAGCCCCATCAAAACCGCTGTTGTACCCACTTCACACATGAGTTCTCTAAATGTGGTGAAAATGACAGCAATATCCCTCACGCCCAGCAACAGTAGTGCCCCTCTTAAACATTCTGCCTCAGTGAACAGTGCTACAGGAACAACAGAAGAATCAAGGACCATTCCACAGATCAAGAATGGTTCTCTTGTTTCACTTCAGTCTCCTGGATCCAGGACCAGCAGCACCGGGGGAGCATCTGCCGTGGAAGTCAAAATGGAACCTGAAACATCATCAGATGAGCATCCTGTACAGTGCCAAGAGAATTCTGATGGGACTAAAGCTCCCAAAACAACACCTAGTGCCCTTTTGGGGCAGAAGAGTAATACGGATGGAGTAGTGCAAAAACCTTCAAATGAAGGTGTCACTGAAGCAAAAGCAACCAAGGTCTGTGACCAGAGGACCAAATGTAAAAGCCGCTGTACTGAAACTCTGCCAGGCGCTTCGACAGGCAATAATCCAAGCACTGTCACCCTCTCAGTTGCCACTCAGAACTTAACTTTCACCAGCACCAGCTCACCAGCTAATGGTGACTCAATAAATAAAGACCCTAAATTATGCACTAAAAGTCCAAGAAAACGACTGTCTTCTGCACTGCAAGAGTCCCAGGTGCCTCCCATAAAGAAACCAATTGTGGAACAGCTTTCTGCAGTTATCCTAGAAGGTCAGAAACCAGGCAGTGTTGAGAAGGACCAAAAGGTTCCACATTCAGGGAAAATAGAAAGTTCAACAGCCGGTGCTCAGATTCCTAGCAAGGTATCAATGAATGTCAGTTCGCACATAGTGGCAAATCGACTCTTGAGTTCTTCTGCTCTCATTGCCGGTGATTCAGCTTCAGAACAGCAAACACCATCATCATCTCCAGATATAAAAGTAAAACTTGAAGGGAATGTCTTTCTTTTGGACAGTGATTCAAAACCAGATGGCAGCTTTAAATCAAATGAATGGCAGCAGGTCAGTAAGGATTCTGAGTTTATATCTGCCGGCTGTGAACAACAGCAAGATATCAGTGTTATGACAATTCCTGAGCACTCTGATATCAATGACTTAGAGAAATCTGTTTGGGAATTAGAAGGAATGCCACAGGACACTTATACCCAGCAGCTGCATAGCCAGATACAAGAATCTTCTTTGAATCAAATACAAGCACAGTCTTCAGATCAGTTACCTCTACAGTCTGAACTGAAAGAGTCTGAGCCTTCTGTTTCCCAAACAAATGAAAGCTACTTTCCTTTTGATGATGAGCTTACACAAGATAGTATTGTGGAAGAGCTGGTGCTTATGGAGCAGCAAATATCAACGAACAATTCTCATTCTTACAGTAACTGTTTGGGAATGACCCTTCAGAGTCAGTCAGTAACTCCAGGAGCTCCAATATCATCTCATGCCTCCAGTACCCACTTCTATCATCCAATCCACAGCAATGGCACTCCGATCCACACACCCACACCCACTCCTACCCCAACCCCAACCCCAACCCCAACCCCAACTCCAACATCAGAAATGATTGCTGGGTCTCAGAGTCTGTCACGGGAGAGCCCTTGCTCCAGGCTAGCCCAGACCACACCTGTGGATAGTGCTTTAGGAAGTAGCCGACACACACCCATTGGTACTCCACATTCTAACTGCAGCAGTAGTGTCCCTCCCAGCCCTGTTGAATGCAGGAATCCATTTGCATTTACCCCAATAAGCTCCAGTATGGCGTATCATGATGCCAGCATTATCTCAAGTAGTCCTGTGAAACCGATGCAAAGACCCATGGCCACACACCCTGACAAAACCAAGCTTGAATGGATGAATAATGGGTATAGTGGGGTTAGTAATTCATCAGTTTCTGGCCATGGCATTCTCCCAAGCTATCAGGAACTAGTGGAAGACCGTTTCAGGAAACCTCATGCTTTTGCTGTGCCTGGACAGTCTTACCAGTCTCAATCCAGACATCAAGACACTCATTTCGGTCGCTTGACTCCTGTCTCTCCTGTGCAGCATCAAGGTGCCACTGTAAATAACACCAACAAACAGGAGGGTTTTGCAGTCCCTGCCCCTCTTGATAACAAAGGGACTAATTCATCTGCCAGCAGCAACTTCAGATGCCGGAGTGTGAGCCCTGCTGTTCATCGCCAACGTAATCTTAGTGGAAGCACCCTGTACCCCGTATCTAATATCCCCCGATCTAATGTGACCCCCTTTGGAAGTCCAGTAGCCCCAGAGGCTCACGTTTTCACAAATGTTCACACAGATGCGTGTGCCAACAACATAGCTCAAAGAAGTCAATCAGTTCCATTGACAGTCATGATGCAGACAGCCTTCCCGAATGCTCTTCAGAAGCAAACAAACAGTAAAAAAATAACCAGTGTCTTGTTGAGTAAACTTGATTCTGACAATGATGACTCAGTGAGAGGTTTGGGCGTGAACAACCTGCCCTCCAATTACACAGCCCGGATGAATCTCACTCAGATTTTGGAGACTTCCACTGTTTTTCCTAGTGCCAATCCGCAGAATATGATCAATTCCAGCACTTCTGTTCATGAATTCCAAACACCACCTTACCTCACTAAAAGTCATAGCACCGATCAGATCAGCTTTTCTCCTGGAGATAATCAAGCACAATCAGAAATCGGAGAGCAACAGTTAGATTTCAGTAGCACTGTTAAAGACCT